CAAGAGATGCTAAATGGAAATCCACGTTAACGCAGTTGGAAGTTAAGGTACTGTGAAGCCATCCCAGATAATAATTAAAGCAGAAGGTTAAACAACCTCTCAGTCAAAAAAAATATATGCATAATAGTATAAAAGAGAGAGGTGTCCTGGGAGGCACTTTAGTACAAGCCTGTTGTGTACAATAACTTGGCAAGAGCCAAACTCGAGCTATCTGCCAAAAAATACTATTTTATATGAAGAAGCATATACCTATGATATAGGAAATGTAATAAAACCATCTCTAGCAGCAGGAGGTGCTTAGGATTAGAGAAGCAACACCCTTCCAGCATTTCCAATGTTTATTTTTCAGTGCATCTCCAGTCCTGTTCTCTCCCTGATCTCTGTATGTATCACAACAGAAAACAGCAACATCTGCAACAATGGATCAACAAAAGAAGATACTGCTGACAGGAAGCATTTTCCTCACTTCTTCCCATACCAGTGTACCTGAGACACTTTTCCCTATTTTGATATTTTCTTTTCCTCTTTCTCTCTTTTTCTTTACCTGACTTTATCTTCATGTTCTACCCCAAGCTTTCCGATTTGGAACAGCTCCACACTACTTCCTTACCACTGATCCCCCATTTCTTTCCGGATCACAAGCCATCTCCTCCTTCTTACACACCTAAGCTGAATGCTGCCACTTGAGAAGCTGCAACACAAATCCTGTTCTCATGATATACAAACCAGTCTTTTGAGCTTCATTAATGAAAACACCTCAAGGAGCCACAGAAGACTTTAAGAAAGCCAGGAGTGTGTCTCTGTTAACATAAGCAACAAAAAGCCAGATGTCTGTCAGCAAAGCACTGCTGCGCTCATACTTCTCTGGACTGACATTATTCAGATCTCTGAGTATTGTACTTCTTCTTTGCAACTTCGATAAATTCTGAATACAGAAGTCAGAATATGCTCCAAGATGTACATACATGTTTTTAAGAGCACTGAAGTTACTACGTCCCTTTGTGTAAAGCTTGGCATACATAAATAAGCAAATCTCACCCTGATAGATGGCTACAGCTGCTTTGTTTCTGCAACTCCCACTCCATGTAGGGATTACACAATCAATCCAAGTGGATCCTTCTAAGACAAACCAGTCTACTAACTCTGCAAACACACGTTAACGCAATGTGCCAAAATCTGAACAATGATAAGGAAGCAAATATTTAAATGTAAACTGTTCTGATTCTTCCCCACAGAACCCCAATATGAATAGTAAGCTATATTTCATTAAACATACAAACCATTGCCTAAAATCATATATATTTACTGGGTAAAAATGTAACTGTGGAACATCTCTTCTTCAAGACATCCTGTACTAGAATCCCAAAACAGCCACAGTCCAAGGGGAAAACAAAACAAATTGACCTATTTAATAGGAAAAAAGCCAAGACACTGACAACCACCACGTAACCAACATTATCCACAGAAATATTCATGTCTTATTTGAATTGGACCAAGTGCACAACATTCTGTGCAATACTCAAGCACTTCTGAATAAAATCATCTCTGTAATACTTAATGAACTTTTACCAATTTTTTTTTTTCCTTGGTTGCAGTATTGTCAAGGGGTCTGCTCAATAATTAACCATGGAGATGCAGATGGGGAAATGTAGCATCTCAGCTAGCACTGGTTATTAGAAAAAAAAGGAAAAAAAAAAAAAAGATATGTTTTGTTTGTTTGTTTGTTGTTTTTTTTTTTTATTTTAAATGAGTTTCTATTAAGGAATAGGAAGCCAAGAAGTCAAGTACAACAACAAACACATGGAAAATCTCCAGGGTATATTGCATGTTGTGTTAGACTTACTGCTAATCTTATGTAAAATCAAATTCATTAACAAGAGAAAACCCTTCCAGTTTAAGTAGCATTCACATTTCTCCACGTTTGCTTCCCATAATTAAGGTAAGCTTCAAAAAAATCTGCAGCATAACTAGCACTCAACTGCAAGGCCTGCTCCAAAGAGGTGAGTGGAATTAGCAGTAGTGGTTACTGCACTGCATAAAAACATTACTCAATGGATATTATTTCTTCCCCAAAATACCAGGATTGAGTACAAATAGCCATGATACCTATTAACCACTAAATACGTCTGAAGCTCTTATTTTTCTCATGTTAATTCAGCACATTCCCTTGGGCTGGAAAGAATTGTGTTCAGAAGTACCAGCACTCAACCCTTTTTTAAGAGGATATTTGGTAGTTGAGGTTTCTGTCTACAGAGGTTAAGCAAGAAAGCAGGCTACACATTAAGTCTGTTGCATACAAAATGTTTTTGCAAGGCAGCAGTAAAGCCCATTATACTAGGAGTTGGTTATGAGATGTATTCATCACCTCTATAAGAACTCAAAGTCAACAACCACCCCAAACATACATTACATTTTTATAAGCAGATGTAAATTCTCCTGTCTAATAAAGAAGAAACGCGATGATTAACTCCCTATTACTGAAGATAATGCTTCTGCCTGCAGAAGGGCATGGAATTAGTATGGGCCATGAAATGTGTGGGAAAGGAAGGCTGATCATTTTGCCAGGACTGCAGAGTAAGCAAGAGAACACCCATTGCTTAGAACACAAGTCCACAAATCCAGGAGATTCTTCTTTCTCTCATTAGTTCAGATTTTACATCTAAAACATACATCTGGTACTCTGTGGTATTCCTCCTGGTGCCTTGCAAAAATCTAAAGCCAAAATTCAAGTGACGTGGCAATGAACAAGTTAAGGCCTTGTACACCAAGTGCTTTGTTCTGTGCCGTAACATCCCTCTTCTCATTTACTTCAGGCTGATCAAGATGCATTAATATTTGTTGAGGTGTACACTTCATTGTGAAATGAACTGTTACAGGATACATTCAAGCAGATTAAGAAAATAATCTTGGCTTGGAATCTCTGAAGTTGTAAAATGAAAAAAAGAAGAAAAAATCTGGAAAACGGAAGTCGGGTTTTAAGAAATAGGTATTATCTTAGAGTAATTTAAGCCCAGAGCTTAAATGCTTCAGACATACTTATGTGACAAAATTAACCATGTATAACCTCCCCCAGCAGTTTTACAGGTAGTCTGAAACGTCTCCCAAAAGTCAAGCATTTCATTGTAGAGACATAATCAACTGACTTCAGAATACTAAAAATAATATGCAGCTTTATAGCCAGTCTGAGTGCCAAATCACAGTATTCTGATATGGTATTTAGTCAGAGACCAAATTTCTGGAAGTCATTGAAACGTTCTTCCTTTTTCTAAGCAAGGAGAAAGGAAACTGCACTATCTTCCACCTTGGAAGAGCTGAGATGTGTAACGCTGACCTGCAGATAACAGTTCAACCAAGAAAAACCCCATCATTCCCACACCACCTAGAAAACACCACCATACATCTCCTATCCAGACTAGCTTTAATGATAAGTGTTTTAAAATACAATGCAGTTTTCATGTTTTGCTCTTAAAAGTCCTGAAAGGACGCTCGCCTGCAATAGGTCCTGAATTACGAGTTGAGCACATGCAAAGCTGAGAAGCCCTCACTTCACAGGTGATGCTGCTCAAGGAGAGATTATTCAGCATTTTCCTGCTGACTTGGAAGAACTGCACCAAGCTCTCTGTCACCAGGCCATGGCACAGCACAGCTCCCAGGACAACCAGCAGTAACCTCACACCCAAGTTAGGCCCAGGGCTACACGTTATTAAGAAAAAAAATGTCCTGACTGAGAACAGATGTTGACCATTTCATTCAGTGCAACACTTCTGAGAAACCAAGCATACCTCTGGGACAGCACAAAACCATTTCAGTACCAGAATGATCACACCAACACAAAGATAACTTCCAAGATATTATCTCCAAATTACAGGCACAGAACACAGGAGGATGTTTCTTTGCAACTCTTTTTCAAGAGCAATGGAAGGTTTGTTTCAAACAGACTTCTACAACTGCCTGAAAACATCTCCCAGCACATTCATTTTGTGCCAGGTGCTGCTATCTGCATCAATGTCTCCATCTTGTCATCCTCACAAGACTACAGGGCCAACTGTATCCTACACCATAAAAACTTGGACCTCATTATTTCCAAATAATGACAGTAAATGAGGGAAAAGTTCTGCCTAAACCACAGACAGCCACTTCTGCAACACGTATCTGAGCCTTCTCTCTCGTTTCCCCCACGCTTGCTCAGTCTCCCAGGTAACACAAGCACTTCACACAAACTACCCAGTTATTATCCTAAAGCAACTTCAGCATTCGAGCACAGTCAGTTCCAACTGCTCAAACAGGAGACAAACGTCTGGAGAAACAAATAGGTCAACTTTGACTCAGTCATGACCACGAACAGAGTGCCAAGGTACAAAAAATAAAAATAAACGGTGAGCCTTTCGTCACACACAAATTAACCTGCTTAGTTTTTTTCCTCCTTTTTTTTTTTTTCCTATTTTTTTTTAATTACAAGCTAAGACAAAACAAACAGCAAACTATTCTTTAATGTTAAAAAAAAAAAAAAAAAAGGCTGAGAAGTGAAAGGGCACCTAAGAAAGGCATAAAACAAGCTAACGATTAAAAGCTCACCCTTTTTTTCCCGCGGACGCGAGCAGAGTTTGCACCGAGCAGCCCAAAGAGCCTCGGGGGCTGCGCGGGAGCGGCCTCTCCGCCCGGCGGCCAGGCGGTGGCGGGGTGCAGTGCGGCCGCGCGGCCGGCAGGGGGCGCCGTTGCTCGCGGGAAGCGCTGGGGAACTGCTGCAAACGGCGGCGGCGCGGCCGGTGCTGCTGGGCCGGTGCTTCCCGGGTTCTTCCACGCGAAGAAGTAGACGGGACGGGACAGGACGGGATGGGGCGCGGCAACCCTCCGGACGCCCCCCAGCTCCGCCCCGGGGAAGGAGGCCTCGCCGCTTCCCCGGCCGGCAATGAGCGCCGCTCCTCCTCGGTGGAGGTGGGGGAAGGGACAGCCCCCCTCCCCCAGCAGAAAGCTCCCAATCCCAAACCATAAATACTCACCATATTGACTTCTGAGACCATATCTATACTGGCAATGTCTATGTTCATGCCAACAGCCACTGGGGGACCTGCAAACCAACAAGATGGTCCGCAATGTGATCGCTAAGAACTTAACTCATTCTTACCAGAGTTACAAGGACTAAGACATAGCAAAAAAGAAGAAGAAAAAGAAACGATTAATAAACAAATAAATAAAAAGCCGGGAAGGTGACAAACAGCGTCCCCCAGCCCGTCCCTCCCCCGCCCCCCCGAGCGTGCAAAGCTGCCATCGATCCGCGAGGAACGCGTTAGCGCCGGATTCACCCTTTACGCCCCGCCAGCTGGAGCGCCGCTTTATATAACGCGCACACGTGTCGGCTCCGGCGCCGGCTGCTCCCTGGGGAGCCCGCAGCACGCAGCCCGGGGCGGGCAGGGGGCTGTAGGGACCCCCCCCTTCCTCCCTCCCCGGCCCCCCACCCGGCTCAGCCCCGCGGGTACCGGACGGGGGACCCCGGTGAGCGCGTCCGACGCCGATTGATAAACACACGAAGTTGTTGGGAGTGGGAGCGCGCAGGGGGTTAAATGACATTTTTTGTATCGGTTAACAGCGCATCTCGTACTCGAAAATAGTAACTGTGTGATCATGGGAGCGAACGTTGGGTAAACTTCAGAGATTTGCATCTCGATAAAGCCAGTTAAACGAAGGGTTAATTACAGGTTAATAAATTATCGGCACGCACACAATGAGGGACCGATTCCAGATATGCAGGAGATTTAAATGATGGCATTAAGAGCGCCTTGTGCTAAGAAAATAGAGTAACAATTAGCTTAACTTTGGATCATCTTGAGAAAATGGCAACACGCACACCGAGAGCAACAGCACCCACCACACGTCTAAAAAGCACGCACGGAGAAGGTCCAACAGCCCGGATACATAACATCTCTGATTGAAAAGCTGTCGAATTACCTCCAAAATCTGGCCTCAAGCGAATGTCATAGCCCTTCAGCAGTCTATCCACGGTCTCTTTTACCAGTGACATATTACTAGGGTCATTGACACTAAGGAAGAAAAATAATAATACGTTATTTCTCATTTCTCGGACCCAAGCTGTACATTTCCCTTAGCTGTAACATGCAGAGCAATTCAAAGTAAAGCAACGCCTTCGTCACTTACCTCTGTGCACACACCACTGCTATTATTAAAGGGAATGACCAAATCCCAAAGTAACCCTTTTTCCGGACTCTCAGCATCCCTTTGGCTTCTGATATGATTTAGGGTTTCAGTGAAGAGAAGAAGAGATCCAACTTATTCTGGCCAGTGCAGTAATTCTAATGTGAAGCGCATGCGCACGGCGTACCACAACATCAAAAGGAGCAGTGGTTGCTGCTGGAGATGGAGCAAATTTCCTTGCAAAAAAAAAAAAAAAAAAAATTAAAGGGGAAGAAGGAAATGCATTATTTAAAAAAAAATTTAAAAGAAGTCATCCACAGGAGGATCGAGTATATTTTTGTTGTCCTTTTTGTTAGTGTGGAATATAAATCACAGCAAGCGGAGAACTTTAAGGAGTTGTGCAGGGCACGGCGGCTTTGTAACCCAGTTTAAATGCGAGGGGGGGGGGAGCTGAACGGATTCGGATTGACACGGAGGGGGGAGGTTGGCAGGAACTTGTGTGGCGCCGGGGGCAGGTGGGCAGCTGAACTTTTTGGTCCCTGAAAGGAACCGCCCGAAGCGATGCGAGGTGCGGACAAAGGAGCCGGAGCTCGCAACGAGGGCGGGCGGTGGGGGAGGAGAGGAGATGGGAGCTTACAGTGTTTCTCGCGAAGAGAA